AACGGTGCTCAGGGCTCAGAAGTTTGAGCCTGTTTGTTTTATGAATATATATTCTAGACATTTGAAAAATCTTGCTTAACCTCGGGCAATGAAGAGATGTATCTACAAGTATCGAACCCACTGGCAGTGGTCACGTGATTCATTTCCTGGCTATCACACTGCAGCAGGTGTTCTTTGATTGGGATACATGCAAACGAAATAAAAGCAAAATCTTAAAAACATGTCTAAGCGTCGGTCCAATGCTAGAGCAACAAAATCTTAAGAAAGAGAAAAGAAAAGATTTAACTGCTGTCTATATCGGCGCAAACTTGGCTGGCTGATGGTTGTAACTTCGAAGTCTTCGATATCTTCTCTGGTTTTGCCTGGAACGTCTTGACAGTTTCGTGTCCAGTGTGTCTACCTAACGACCTTATTCCTATTTGTTTACATCCCCCTTGAGATTTGCTTTCAGCCCAGATTCTCAAATAAGTTTTAGCAGTGTATGCCATTGTTGTAGGGAAATATCCAACAAAGTGGCTATAAGAGCTCTCACGTTCTTATAGCCACAGTACCGGAAACACTCAGAATGGTAATTAAAATTTCCTTGTTTTTCATCTTTTTCACCATTTTCTGTTGTTATTATTATTATTATTGATATTTCCCAGAAAGGGATATATTTGATCGAAGTAGCTAAGTGGATTTGGCTACGGTAACCAAGTAGTACACGGTAGCAGTAATCGACTGGTACTCGTCGTAGTCGCAGGTAATATGCTTAGGCAATTGGTGTAGACCAATAGTATAGCCAATGGCGTAGTCCAATGGGCGTCGCCATAGACTTAAACTCTGTCATACCTACGCGTCCGTCTGTATTTATGACGGACACCAGCCAATCATATTCCAGTGAGGAGGAACTCAGGTGTATGCATATTCCATTATATCAATTATTATTATTATTAGTAGTAGTAGTAGTAGTAGTAGCCTAGAAATTCCATGGTGTTTTGTTTTGAATTTTCTGATGCGTCATATTTCTGAACTTAATGATTGAATACGTTCCTTGTGATACTGCCTTTGGATATTTCGCTATTGTGTCTGTAAATATTTTTAGCTTAGAAACTTCAGTAAAATATGGGGAAACAATTGTTTTTATAATTTTATATCCTGTCTCTGTGAATTCTCTCTTTCTGTTGTTACTGCCATCTAAAGTATATTCCATTAATAAACAACATTCATCGGATACATATAATTATAGCGATTTAACAAGCATAGCCGAGGTGTGGCACAAGGTTAAAATCATGGAGCACCCAGGTATCGAACTCATTACTCAACCGTAACTGACCTAGCTAGACAAATTCGTTAATCGTTACACCAAGTTTACAAAGCATATCTGAGATGTGACACAAGGCCAAAAGCGTGGAGCACGCTATCAGGATCGAACTCACTTCTCAGCTGTAATTGAGCTAGAAAAACAAACTTACTAACCATTACACCATATTGACGTGTTCTTAGATTTGGTACAAGGTCGAAAGCATGGAGCACCCAGTTAGTGTGGAACTCACTACTCAGACAATCTCGCTGACTATTGCTTCATACCGGAGTGGTCTAAGGTATATAGAATTATAAATGACGAAAGTATTTCACTGTCAATTTTACCGCCATTTTTTTTAAACCGTTTCGTTTGCTTTTTATTTCTCTCCGCCTTTATTTGTTACGTCGTTGTTTCTCTTTAACTGAAACGGATGCTAAGTGACGGACAGCTTTTTTCTTTCACTAAGACAGACAACCTTCTTTCTTCCGTCTCTTCTTCAAAACGGTCCATTACTTATCCAAGGCAATGGTCCATTACTTATCTAAGGCAATGACAGGGAGTAAACCACGTGCTGATTAACTTCATGACTAACAGAGCAACAACAACAATAATTGTAATAACTTAACTGTGAATTCTATTTACGGGAAGAGCTTCTGAAATTTGATTGCGCGCTTTCTTTTAATTAATCAATGTCAATGTCACTCGGCAGTTTACGTTTGACAATATTTCAGCCTGCATTCGCCAGGTTATTGCTGTCTGACGTTGAAATTCTTTCATCTCTAAATTCGGCACGTCTACACTGAAGATATTACAGCTATAATTGATGTTGGATGGCTGGCCATTCGCATTCGAGTCTAGGTAGGACGTCTAGGTAATCCCTGTTGCAGACGCCCTCTCAGGCACATCTGTGTCTTTTCAAAAAAACCCACAGAACCCACGTGGTTTTAATGTGATGGAATAACCTGCCCCCCCCCTGAATGGCGGCACTATAGGTGGTAACCACCTATAAGTATCCGTGAGGACATCGGACATGAGAGTCGCGCTGGGATCTTTCCCAGCTGCGCTAGTCGAACTCTCTGCCTTCGGGCAGAGAGGAACCCGGACGAGGCTATGCCGAAGGGCAGAGTTTCGTCCGGGGAGGTAGACAGACCCGACCCCGTTTATGCGGGGTCTACGGGGATTTTTTGGTCAAGCCTTCGAGCTCGGGAACCCCACTTTAAATTCGGCCTTGTGCCACATGTAACTGCGTGGGGCAATTACTAAATAGCGTCGAGCTGGGATCTGCGAGACTAGCGGCCTTCCATAGCAGCACGCACATAACTGTATTGACTTGCGACGACCGTGCGCATAACTATTACTTCCTTGCTTGTTGTACTGGTTTCTACAATAAACCCGTTACTATTTATCCACCGTGTTTGTCCATTCCATATTCCTATTAGCACGGAATGTAACAGGTTTATACTGCTACTATACTGAGGGTTATCCGGAAGTTTCTGAAAATTATCTAGTAAGTTTTAACAAGTCTAGCACACTGAAACCCTCGGTCACGATGGCTTTTGATTACTTGCTTTCACAACCGTCGACGCTTTTCAAAGAGTCACGTCTACCCAACCCTGTTCACATGTCTTGTGTCAAGCAAGCACTTTAGACATTTTCCAAAGGTGCTTTACACTAAGATCGCCTTCTCCAGACCGATAACATCAAGATGACACATTCCTGGTAAGATAAGATCGAGAAGTGAGATTCGAACCTAGGTCTCGCGGTCAGAAAGCGAATGTTCTAACCATGCGGCCACCAATTTTCATGAGGATAAAAGGCGTCTATAACCTCCCGAATTATAGGATGACATATGAAGACGAAATTAAAGCACAGAAAATATTTACATTATTCGGACTATGGTCCTCATCTTTCTGGCCATATTTATCACAACGTTTCGGCCGTATTGAGCACTGGTAAAAATGGTTGCTGAAAACATTAAGTTTATAAATCCCAGAAATTTGTGCACATGGACACATGTTACAGTGGATAAAGGCGTTGGTTAGAGCCAGTGACAGGACCCAAAGAGTTGTGAGTTCAATACCTGGTTAAGGCAGTGGAGAACTTGGAGAGATGAATTAACGGGAGATAACTGACATCCATTAAACATGTCACACAATTTCGCCTCCGCAATTTAATTCTCAAGGCTTGGGTGAAACCGTGGTATGATTTTCACGCAATTCCCAAGGACGCTACATGCCAGGAACACCCCCAACCATTCGGATATTGTCACTTCTTTGAAAGTGAAAGAAAAGTTGATGCAGGTGTAGAAACCAATATTAGTAGCATTATCGCCTTTACTCGGGTGAAATGATAATACATATATATATATATATATAATATATATATATATATATATATATATATAGCGTCTAAGAATTTGAATGAAACCTGCCGTGTAATTTATTGGGGTTGTTGTAACTTCTTGCTTTTTGCATCAGATTTTCATCACGCTCAGACACTATTGTCTTGACTGTCGATTAGTTGTCCTACGGCCATTGTCTGCAGTGGATCTTATTCCAAGAAACCGTACGAAAATTGTAACGCTGCGCGAACACACTGACAAGCTTTACCTGTGAGTAAATCAAAGTAATATAGACTGGCCCAGAAAATCTCCTGATTTAAATCCAATCGAGAATCTGTGATCAATCCGCAAAGAATGGACATACGAAGGTCATGTTTCATTGGAAAAATACGAAAAAATGTAAATATTAAGGGAATTATTCGTGTTGATTCAATTAATTTGCACAAGGGTATATATATATATATATATATGTATATATATATATATATATATATATATATACCCAAGTATAGGATTGATGTATACGGAATAAATAACCAACAAATACTATTCTTAAAAGAGTGCTCAATACGGAGTAGAGCAAATAAAATTATTTATTCGAAAATTATAACATAAATATGTTATAAAATCACTACAAAAATACAGAGTAGAGCAAATATAATAATATAGTAACCTATAATCGATGAAATTAATTTCAATCTTCCGGTGCTCTGGTGCTAAAATTCCTTTAAAGTGTAAAATCATTTTTGCCAATAAATTCTATTGCATAGTCATGACACGTATACCACATTCGTATTGTTTGGTTTGGTTTGTTTTGGTTTGGTTTGTTTTTGGTTTGGTTTGTTTTGATTTGTTTTGTTTTGGTTTGGTTTGGTTTACGACATATCAACCTCAATAGGTTATTTAATGCCGACAACATTTTTAGGATAGATTCGTATGAATAGAGTATTTATTCTTTGGTTTAGATTGGTTTGGTTTATTTTGTTTAACGGCATATCAACGCCAATGGGTTATTTAATGCCGACAACATTTTTATTGCTGGTAATATTTTGTTTTGTCAAAAATCTGTTTCTGGTAATAATTTTTTTCCTTCAAAAATGTATTGCTGGAAATAATTTTATCCACAAATGTATTGCTGGTAATATTTTTTTCAAAAACCTATTGTTGGTAATATTTTTTTTTTAAATGTATTGCTGGTAATATTTATTTTTCTTCAAAAGTTTATTGCTGATAATAATTTTTTACAAAGTATTTCTGGTATTAAAACCTATTTTTACACTTTCATACTGTTTTGACCCCTGTTTCGGGGATAAATATTTGCCCATAGCTGGGACCCTAGCAGGTGCCACCACCCCGGGTCAGAGTGGACCTGGG